CCTGTCCTCATGGGTCATGTGCACCAGTCTACCAGCCATCCTTATTACTTTCTGGTAGGCTTTCTTCTGCTAATCAAAGCCTCTCTTGTAGTGGATGCCCCAAGCAGGATGCCGTGTCTCTCATATGGGCACATGGGTGCAGAGGAGAGGGAAATAATTTTATCTCCACCTGTTGTCTATGCTCTTGCTAATACTCAGCCCAGCACTTGTTACTGGGGCAGCTTGTAGATTTTGGTTTTGGTGACTGCTTTCTGAAACAAGAGGTTTGGGATGGAGAAGGCAGGATAACAAATGTCATCTACACAAAGTCAATTATCCTTGATTATAATCTTTATTTGTAGCTTTCATTCAGCTTCTTTGGCCATAGAGCTTTGAATGAAAGTCTGAAAAACACTGATCTGTCACAATGACGGTGAATTTGTAATCATATCATGGCTGTTTCTTCTGCTGCTCTTCAGCTGCTCTGGTTTCTATCCGGGTCATTGACAGCTGGAGACACATCCCACTGGGATACAGCGAAGTAGAGTTCAATAGAGGCCTCTTGCTCTTTGTCAGAGAGCTAGCCAAACTTCGCAACCTTTTGGATGCTTTCCAGCTTGCTATGAGGAGGCTGAATTCCACAAGACTGAAATGCCCAGCACAGAGAACCTCAGTTTTTAGAGTACATGCTGGGGTAATTTGCCAAGACTGGCAGAGTTTAGGGACTTCTTGCTTTGAACGGTGAAGCACAAATGTTATGACTCGACTTTGCACCAGGTACCGGGACGTTTTTTCTAGCTATTGGAGTATTGAAGGTAGTTCTGTGTTTCCTAATGCTCACCTGATGTTCTTCCACAACCCACCAAAAACCTGAGCCTTGGAGTCACACTTTTCTTCTTCAGAGATGTACAAGAGAGGAAATGAAAACAGACATGTTAAAGGATTATAGTCTGGAATCAGAGGGCAGTGAAGGGCAGAACAGACCTCAAGAGGACATCCAGCCCTTCCTTCTGCTCCCCGGCAGAATCAGCCACCTCTAGGACAGATGTTTTTTTACTTACCTCTAATGCTGGAAATCTAGTTTCCCCAGACCGTCCGTTACACATCCTCAAAATCTTCACTGTTAAAAGATTTTTCCAACCTGAATCTCCCTTGTTGCAGCTTCAGATCGCTATTTCTTCTCCAGTCCCTGTCAAGTGTAAATCCAAAACATATTTAGGGTTGATCATGCCAGTGACTAGTTACTAACTTTAAAAAATAGCCATTAGTCAATACTGAAGTTATATAATTGATGGTGACTTTTGCTCTCCACAACTGTTGTGCTGGATAAAACTGCACACTTGGAGACCATTATATGGCAGTAAGTACTTGACACTCCCTCAGAGGTGCACATAGAGTTGACAATCCAGGTCACTTACTTTTCTTATGAATTCTGAATACAGAGAGATAATAGAGTATCAAGCTGCCATTTTCACCTAGCTATTTTTCCAAATAGAAAAAGCCACCTGGGGAAGCGATCCGAGTTAGAGAAACAGAATTAAAAATAATTTATAGCTAGGAGGGGAAAGTGTTTATAGTAATTTGCTGTTTCATCTCAGTGTGTGTTTAACATTTGTTGATGGAGTTCCTGTGCCTCAGGTGAATGTAGATGCATTTTAGTTGAGACGAATGGAAAAAAATTGCACAAGAAGGTGGTTAGCTAAGTAGTATACAGCAGAGGGTATATCGACAGTTAGGGGAGATAATGCCACCCTCTCTCTTCTCCTACCCAGAAGTCTGCACCAACAGAAATCACATGTATTGGCGAGAGACAGTACATTTCGTGAGGTCTGTTTTTCTATCTGCCTGTCACTGTGAACTTGCTAATTGTGTCAGTACTCATATGTATGTACAATGTCAGTTGATGCCGGAGCCAACAAGTATGTGTTTAAAATGGAGTAACAGACACGCATTAAAAGTTTGAGAGTGATCTGTGGTCCGTCTGCTTTCAAAATTTCTCTAACACAGCTGCTGGGATTACATGTATTAATGATGAATTGTTTTTGACACTAGCCAGTGTCAAAAAGGCTGTAATCTTGCACCCCTGAACCACACTTACGGATGAACTTCACACAACATAAAGTGGGAGAAAGAGCCAGGTCGACAGTACCAGAAGCTTTAGTTACGTAAAACATGTCCTTACACTTTCTTGAAATTCCTTCTACAACAGAAATTACTGCAGATTTTACAGGAACATTACAGGAAGGGGAAGTATTGTATGGAATCATGAAAGGAAAGGAAAGTGGTGAATAGAAGATGTTGATCGGTGTTATGAAAACCCTGTGAACACTTGCTGTATATGTATTTCCCATCTCACCATGAGCCAAGCAATCTATTTTCCATAACCTGTGGCCATCCAGTGACAACTCCTTATTTTTGTCTTTCCTAGAATGCAACATTTGGCAAAAAGCCATAAAAAGTGAACTACTAGGTAAGAAAAGATGTGCTATCCTGTCTCTGATATAGTCCAGCAGCGGATGCAGAGGGAAAGGGCACAAAAACAGACAAGCATGAAATAATACTTTGCTTGCACATCTTCCAGACTTCCCATAGTCACTTCAAACTCATGTGGGCTTTTAAACATACTCCAGCTATTCTGAGTCCTATGTCCCTGACCATTATTGCTAGCGCTATGATCATTTTTGTACTCTCAGACATGCTGGGTCTTCAGACCCTGCTCAGGTCATGCACGTCACCTACATAAGCTACCAGAATACACGGCAATATGAAGTAAAAAAGCTTAACTGCAGGAAAGTCAAGGTGTGGCAGAAAGGCATCAGGCCATCAAGTAACTTTATTTCCAGTTTGATCCCTGGTGCCAGATCTCTGGTTACTACTCAAGATGTGCTAGTTCACACCTGAGCTCCCTTCTGGCATGTTTTAATGCTATGTGGCTGAACTTCCTGGGCTACAGTCACATAGTTATAAAAGCTTAGATTGCTAATGGGGAATCTATTTATTTGGAAGGACAAAATGTTGTAGAGTGTGAAAAGGGAAAGAAGGAATCCTATTTTCTGACAGAAGGCATTCGAATAGCTTTGGACTTCTTCCTCTTTCACCTGAATCAGAATAACAGGATCTGCAGATTGCATGGAGCAGAGTCTCTGATGAGATCCATGGTACAATCCTGTTGGTAAGGCTGTGATTACTGGTAACCAGTAACCTGAATTTTTCCACAGCCTGTGACTGATCATCTGTTAGGCCCCTGGTGATGAATCTGATTCTCTGCATCCCTGTTTCTTTATCTGTTAAATAGGAAAAATGATACTTGCTCTACTTGGCAAAGTGCTTTGGAGTCAACAGATGAAAAACTTAAGTACTAGCTTCAAGTCAAAAAGGAAGCACAAACTGGCAAAAAATGACTGGAAAGCTTAAGTAAATGGCTTCAAACTTCTGAAATGGCTTGAGTCTAATTTCCAACTCTAATTCAGTCACTTTTTTCTTTTTGTCACCACCTATTGCTGTAGTCAACATCCTGTTTTTACAAACATTACAACATGTGCCTGTCCTAATCCTCGCCTCTTAACACTAAAATCTGTTTGAAATTCAAGTTGCCTTTCCCCAGTCAATTGTGCAATGTGTTGTTTTCGGAATGACCCTTGCAGTCCCAAGGAAACAGCAAAAACAATTACCCGCAATGGAAAAGAAAAGGGAGATTTTAAGACCAATTTAATCTTCTGCCTTTTAATACAACACTATAAGCAGAAACAATGAGTTGAAACACTGTAATGAGGAGTTGAGCAGAGTGCTGGAGAGGATTTTCCTATTGTTTCTCTCTGTGAGGCATTAAGACTCACAGCAGGTTCAAAAGAAAAGCTCTGTGCACACTTCCAGGTGGTATTTCATTAGCAAAAGTGTTAGCAGCTTTTGGGTAGCTCCTGCATGTGTAATGTTTTCGTCAGTGCATCTGAAAGCAATTATTTTTACCCATTATTTATTCTTCTGTGGCTTTACACAACCTGACTGAGCAAGGAGGAGTTTGTTCAGCCAGAGGAGAGTTTTCATTGAGAGAGCTGCAGCAAACTGTGTGTGTGCGGGGGCGGGTGTGTGCGTGCGTGCGAGCGCGTGTGTGTGTATAACAGATCTCATCTTTGTGCTCCGGTAGTTTTATTGTTGCTGTGTTACGATCCAGAAAAGAGCTGGAAGGGCTGAGGAGTGATGACAGCATTAGTAATACAGGAGTTATAAAGTGAATTTTATCCGTAAAGTAACGTGTAAACTAATGTTTTTTCTTATTTCAAAAGTTATAGTGCTTTCCTTTCTGTAAGCTCTGAATGGTCACATCCAGCTCCCTGCAGAGCATGAGGCCAGTGTAAATCATCATCACTTCCACAAGAACCGGGACACAGGGGAAATCAGAAGTGTAGAAATCCTTGTATTTTTATTGCCAGTTGATCTCCCCTTTGTCAGCATGGATCAATAAGCTCGATAAGTGAGATGGCCATCTGAGAGCAGAGAAGGAAAGCAGTGCGAAGTGGAAAACCTGAGGGGCTTTGCAATCCACTCTCCTTTCACCTCCCCCTGCTGTCTCCACCCTCGGCGCGTTGTGACTCCTCCTGGAAAGCAGCAATGCTGAAGTCTGCGAGGACCGGAGCAGCACAGTCCCGTGCAGAGCTTGAGCAGCTAGCTGGCAGCGCAGGAGGGGCTCTACCTTCCCTCCCTCCCTCCTCCTCCTCTGCAGGGGGAAAGCACCCATCTCTGCATGTGTTTTCATGAATGCCACAAGCCAGCTATGGGAAACCAGCATTTTAACCTGTGCAAATGAGATGGAGTCTGAGGGGGATCTACCTGTCTGGTAATTGACTTAACAGAGACGTAAAGTCCGGGTGCTGTAGGATGAATGAAGACATGACAGCAATGGGACTGTGAGTTTTTGGAGAATGTGCCCTCCACACTCTGCTTAGTTCAGCGGTTGGCGGGGGGCCATGGGGAAGATGTACTGAGACCAAGTGCCTGGCAGAAGCATCACCCAGCTGGCGAAGATGGAGAATGGCACGGCGGACAAGCAGAACCAAACTGGGCTGCTGGTAACGAGCCAAGAGATTGTCACAGCTGAATACCAAGTGGTTACCATTCTCTTGATCCTCATCATCTGCGGACTGGGCATCGTGGGCAACATCATGGTGGTTTTGGTGGTCCTCAGAACCAAACACATGCGCACTCCCACTAATTGCTACCTGGTGAGTCTGGCTGTGGCAGATCTCATGGTGCTGGTGGCTGCAGGACTGCCCAATATCACAGAAAGCCTGTATGGATCCTGGGTGTATGGCTACGTGGGATGTCTCTGTATTACTTATCTCCAGTACCTAGGGATCAATGCTTCTTCTTTTTCCATCACTGCCTTCACCATCGAGAGATACATAGCCATCTGTCACCCAATCAAAGCTCAATTCCTGTGCACTTTTTCAAGAGCCAAAAAGATCATCATTTTTGTCTGGACTTTCACCTCCATATACTGTATGCTCTGGTTTTTCCTGCTAGACCTCAATACAGTAGTCTACAAAGACACAACTGTTGTGTCCTGTGGCTACAAGGTGTCCAGGAGCTACTATTCTCCTATCTATATGATGGATTTTGGTATATTTTATGTAGTGCCAATGATACTGGCAACTGTCCTCTATGCACTGATTGCTAGAATACTGTTCCTGAACCCCATCCTTTCGGATCCAAAAGAAAACTCGAAGACCTGGAGGAACGACTTGGCTCACCAAAACAAGCCTGTGAATTCCAAGATGACTAGCCGAAGTTTCAATAGCACTATTGCTTCTAGAAGGCAGGTAGGAAACTGAATTCGAAATGGCTTTTGAAACCTAACCCCCCTTGTTTTTGAGATCACTAGCTTAGACATTTGGAAAGGGGTAAAACATGTTATCCTTTTTTATTACGTCATCAAGCTGAAATAATATGATAGATACACATGCATATTTATAAGTATGTATTTATTGCCTCCTGCTAGAACCGGAAGTCAAAAGATATTTAAGTTCCTATGTTTAAAAGGAATTAAGAGGTGTCAATGAGGAATGAAACATATTTTCAACTGCACTTTCCTCATATTACAGCCTGTCAGTAATGCTGACAAATATACACAAAGTGACTCTTGAGTTAAGTTGTGAGATCTGAGGAGAAGGAACTTGCCCAGGAGTTGAGCAGACTTGAGGTTTAACAGGTTCTGAGTGCTAAGGCACTGTGTCACCGGGTGAGCAAAGTGAAGTTTCTACTTTTCCTGTCTCTGATTTCCTTGCTATGAAACAGTGAAAAGTCTATTTAAGCAAGTCTGTATATAAAAATACTTCATAAACGTTAAGTATCTTTGTTACTCTGTTGTTCAGGAAATATTTTTATGTACTGATGGCTCAAAACTGAGGCATGGATTTGAGAGGCTTCTTTATATTTTTCCATATATGTGTTTTAATCTGTAATTATATCACTAGAATATAGTTAACAGAATGAATGATTTGTAGCTATTCACAGTAAAGCACACTGCCTTGTACTCAGACAGCATGGAGCAGTTAGCACAGCTGGGTCCATTTCTGAGAAATGCAGGGTGCATCACTTTGCGATTGCCCCTTGGGAAGAGGCTGGGGCTGTGTTACCCACGTTGATGCGAGCTGGGGCCCCGCTGCTCCACGTTGCCCCACGGGGCTGACACCCACTCGGCCGCCGGGCTGACCAGCTCGGGAGGGCTGCCTTGGCACAAGGCATGCTTTAGGTCACAATGCTGAGGGTCCCACCTCTTCAGACAAGCTGAGTGTACCCTAGGTGATAAGTTGAGCTTTATTTTGCTGTTTCTTTATGTAGGTTGCTACTATTTAATTAAAGGGACTTTTTCCCTTGGCATGAGCCATTGACCTCAAAAGTCGACTGAGCTGTCTGCTATAACACTAAACATTCAGAGCACTAGGAGATTTGTAAGTTGGCCTGGAAACCTACAAACAGAAACATCTGAGCTAGTTTTTATTTAATTATGTATCTCCACTTGTAGTTAAATATTTAGACTAGAAGTGTTTAATTTTTTTTCCATCAATTAGTAGAAAAATAAGATAAACTTATTTTCAAGTTGTCATTGTTGCTTTACTATATATGCTTGATTATATGTGCTTAAAGCATTATATGTGCTCATTTAAAAAACAGAAAAATCTTTTAAATTGAGCATTGCAGACAGCAAATGCTATTATATTTTGAAAACCTAAACTTGAGGATTATTATATGATGTCTTTTATGTCTTATAAAGACGGCAAGAGGTTTTCCTAAAAGCCTAAGTAACTTGATGGATTAAGAATGCTTCATTACCAGTAAAGCTGGTATATGCATATAGTACAATGTAGGAAGCAAAGCAAGGATAGCATGACGTTATTAGTAATATTATTTATAAAATAACAGCATTCAGAATATACCCAGTGGTGTAAAATGGGAAAACATAAGTCCATATTCAAAAAGTCTAAAATCTCAAAAGACACAAATTTCCCACTATTTTTGGAAAGACTTAATACATGTATAACGGACAGCATATTTTGGCCTCATAGTGAATTCTGCTCTCATTTAAAGATATATGTACACCTTTTCAGCGTTGTGCTTGCACTAAAGTACCAGTTGCGTATGATCTCCAGCATGCGATTTACAGAAGAAGTAACAAAAAGTCATATAAAGTTCCTACTTCTGTGACAGTTCTTGTATTTATCCAAGAATGTTGGATACATACAAATGAACAATAGAGAATGAAATTAATACATGTTCCATTGAGTTATTATGAGTTAATTATTACTATAATAGACTTGTTATGAGCTCACATTTATGTAATGTATCAGAATAAAGCTGTAAGTTAGATAAGGTTCCTGAATATTCATGCAGGTTTAACCCAAGGTATTTCATAATCATTTCTGACTGTGATGAACCCAGCATGGCAGAGTATGTGAATTGGTTTACCCACTTAATCTGATCTGGATTGCTTCACTAATATGTAGTTAGCTTGACCCAAACTGGCAGATCACGCCATTTCCTTTAATTTCCTTGGGACTTCCCATTACCTTATCAACATTTTGAAAATCTCACTTTATTAAAACTAGTTAAAACTTGCTAATTTGAACTTGCTGATTTTTTAGAACCAGTTTTGTTCTCTAACTTGTCGTACAGTCACTGTGTTTTAGTTCAGGAGCATCTTCTGAAGCTGTTTCTAGCTCATAACAGAGATAGATTCCATCCTCCTCCTGTTTTAGAAAGTTCTTACTTGCATTATAGTACTAGCATATAGCGTGTATTGTCAGCTCTGTCTTTCTACATCATCTTCCAAGAATTAGACTCAGGCCGCTATGTGTAGTCACTACTTTCTAGTGTGAGTCATATATTACAATAATGCAATTTCAATTATTTTCTTGAAAAAATGGCAGTACAACACTTAGATCCCTGGTACGAGGAGTGAGCCCAGAATTAGAAGTGATTGACTGAAAATATGAAGACCAGCTTGGAAACCATCTTGGATGGAAAGCCTGGTGCCAATGGAGAGAGCAAGCAAGGGAGGAGCAACTCCAGCATGGCATCTAGAATGTCTCTGTTCTCAAGAAAGAGGCAAATACAGCAAATACAACCATTTTCCCCCAACTGTGAAAGGCAGTTGCTTGAACTGAGGCAATGCAGGCGTATGGCAGCCTGGCAGTGAGACGAAGAGGAGGGAGGGAGAGCACTGCTGCAGAAGCAGCATAGATGGACCAAGCTCACTTTCCTTAGATCAGATATTTTCAGTCTCTGATATAAACAGATTTAATGCCAGTTGTAAAGCTGGGGAAAAAGAGGTTGAGGATTTTTGTTTTGTTTTCAGAACAGAACAGTGATTTAGATTATTTTGTGATTCAGAAATAAGGTCTGAAATATTCTTTTAGAATAGTGAATCAAGCCTATTTTAATATATTTTTCCTGCCAGTTCTCTAGGGATGAGCACAGAATGAAATGATGTTACAACACCAATGAATGATAATGAATTATTCCAGGCAGAAAGTGTCCTCTGCTTACTCATTCTATTCACTGCCTTCATCGTCCCACCTACATGATTAAAAAGTCACTAAACTATGTTAGTTCAAGGAAATATTTATTTCACTCTAATGTCTGGAAAGCTAACAGGAACAAAATCTATTTACTAAAGGTTCAATACCCCCATATCCCGCTCATGAGGATTATTTATTCTGTTTTACCAAACTGTACTAAATAGCAGGGTTTGATAAACGTATGCTTTAAATTTTTGAAAAGAAAACTAGCATTATTTGATAGTCATGCGAATATATCAGAGTCCATTTCCAATTCACTTCATTTTCCGTCAGGCTTCTTTTGTCCCACAAGGAACAGAAACCAGTTCGTTCTGTCTCTGAGGTGTGTTAGCATTGTCAGAAGAAAAATTCAGCTGATCCACTTATTATGAAAAGCAGAGCCATTAATAAAAGCCCTTTTCAGGGCTTTTGATCAGCCACTACAGTTAGCAGGTAACACTTGATTGTCTCCTCGGTGAAGATCTCTGCCAGAAGAAAGTGTTAGGCTCTATTGCCATGACCCATAAACTAGTATTAAGCTTGTTTTTAGTACCAAAATGTGCTGGTTAGCCTTCAAGCATGTGCTTCATTTGTCACTTAAAGACAAATCTTAAAGAACACCTATTATGTCTGATGGGGCTGCTGCTGACTGCACTGAATGGGGTTTCAACTGTGCTTTGCAAAATAAATAATCTTAGTAGACTGAACTTCATATATAATTTAACAATGATGTGGGAAAGCATTTAAGTGCCCATAAGGGGTTTCAGTGATAAAGAAACAGTTACATAATAGACTACAGTCTATGTAGTTTTCTGCAAGAGAAGATTAGGAGAAAATAAAAGGATCACTAAGAGAAAGGTGAAACCTCTTGGGCCACAGAGAAACTATGGAATTTTTTTGCTGAGTTACATGCTTTGCACAATTTGAACCTGAGAAAACAGAATGAAATAGCCCTGGTGTACGTATTTCCTTGTAATCAAGTTCAGCTGCAGGGTGGGTGAGAAAGCAAAAGTCTCCGATGCACAGCAGCCGAACCCAGTTCATGGTAGCTGACACTTCAGATCTTACCAGAGGAAAAATCAATCAGATTAGAAGAAGGTATCTTGGCAAAGAGTATCTCTTAAGGGCAGGCAGTTCAAAGTCCCATTTACTTTATTCAGAGTGAAAGAAGGGACTTCAATGCAAAATCAATATTCAGATTTATTTCACTGCTGTGATCATTTGTACAGATTATCACTACTCCTAAGAAAGTTAATTGAAATTGATTTCTTCTCACTTGCCATAAAATACAGACTATGAATTTGAAACAGTCCCGTTAAACACATCTTTTGAAACTGCAAGGAAATCCTAGTTCTCCTGAAGCATCTGGGAAATTGCAATATTTGCCATGGGACTAAGGTAAGTACTGCATATAGTAGCAAAAAAGATTGAAGGTGGATATTTTAAGACAATTTACAGGCAAGTGCAAGTATAACATCCCAATCCCTTAAATCAGTAAGAGATTAGCCACTGATTTCAGTGTTTTCAGTGAAGGCCAGTGTTTTAGTGGCACTCTTCTTCTAAGTCAGAGTCTAATGAGATGTCGCAGCCTCTAGATTTAGACAAAACTTACCAAGATTCCAGAAAAAAAAAAAAGTGATTGATATTTCAGCATCACGACCCACATAACACCAGAGAAAATTTTCTCCTTTGGCTTCCTGTTCGGACTGTATTTTATAGCGGGGCTTCTACAAACGTTTTCTTTAACCTTCATGAAATCTCAT